TGCACCGAAGATAGAGAATAAACCCTCATTGCGGATAAGACAACGTACACAGGTTAATGGCACCATGTTATTTGTTAGGAAATATTATATATGTGTGTGGGTGCTCTTTGGTTCTTTCGGTAAAGTCACGTGGGTATGAAATAAAATAAATCACGACGTTTCGGGCGCAACGCAAGCGTCCGTCATCAGGTGGGAAAGCCTTGGTCTGCTTCTAAGGCAGACTGTTTTAAAACAGTTTTAAAACTGTTTTAAAACAGCAACACGGTTTTCCAATCTGATGACGGACGCTTGTGTTGCGCCCGAAACGTCGTGATTTATTTTATTTTATACCTACGTGACTTTACCGAAAGAACCAAGGAGTATGGATTCCTGCGGTCACGAAAGCTTCAAATCAATATATATGGGTCTTGGGCAGAACGTGTTATTGACTACATTAAGAGTTGATGGACGAATGGGCAAGAATCATAACGGTAGTGTGAGCCAAAAGAGAGAACGCGTTCGAGAGGACCTCCGCCGGGAAGATGGAGCGATGGAATCGGGTCATGTGTGCAGGTGCTAAAGGTGGATTATTAACATCGCAGGTGGCAAGGGCTTAGGGGTGGTTTTCATCCAGCAGTGGATTGACCATGGCTGCTGTTGATGAGGATCACGGGAGATGGCGACAACTTTGGGAAGACTTTCATCCAGCAGTGAATGGGCCATGGCTGATGATGATGGTGACCGTGAAAGATAGTGACTTCGGGAGACTTTCATCCAGCAGTGGATCATACGTGGCTGAATATGAATGAATCAAGAATACAATACTTTGTGTAGTCAAATAGAGAGTAATAATAATAGTAGGAACGTCTGAACTCTCGCACTCTGTGCAACATTTTTAAGTCACGAGTAACGCAGTAATGATATTCGCACGAATAGCTCATTGCACTGTTACGGTAATGATTCACAATTGTTTACTGTCGTGAATAATAATAATACAGTATTGTATTGTAATCACAGCAATGCCAGTGACCAAATCATCCCAAATGCACCCGACCACGGAAGCTAAGCGGGCTTTGAGTCCTGGGAGTGCTCGAATGAGAGAGCATGCATAACAGGTGTTATAGGTAATCCACGGTACGTTGTGGGCAGCACAGGGTAGTGCTGCAAAAATCCATTATCCTACAATATGGTCAAATAGTCCGCGCGACGCGCACACTTTGGGGAGGCCTTCGTCCAGCAGTTGATTGACACGTACAGCCCGAACACAATACATATGCATGCGTTCCATGGCTGCTTTTTTTTATAACAAGAGTACGGTATTGTTTTTTTAATTCTGTTTGTTTTGTTTTAAGTAATGATCATTGTGTTCTCATGATCATGAGTATAACAGAATAGGTCATGGTCTAACCCTCTCCACTTCCGTCTAACCTGAAGTCCAAGGCCCATGGATTTCTTCAAGGTATCATAGAAAGCTTGGCATATCGTTAAATAATCGTCATTTTATAAACGTGAGCATTTAAATTTGGAAAATTAGCAAAATAACTATGGTGAGTGTGTTATTTGTTATTTCTCTGCCAGTTATGATTGCGGGAAATTAATCCCCTACCTGCGCAGTGATCCACCAATCTGTCGTATGTGTTACTAGCTTTACTACCCGGCTTCGCCCGGGACTTGGATTCACCACGCCCGGCCGCCTTTGTCTTCCCATTGGCGATGTTCACACACCACAGCAATTAGTCGTTTGAGGCTGAGTCGACCTAGGGGAGGCCCAGGACCGGTTAAAATAATCGTCACCGGTGGTGGTCGTGAGCGGGAATCGAACTCGGGTCACCGGGTTCGTAGCGCAGCGCGCTAACCACTACACTACAATGCGTTACGCTTCCACAAAAGTCTATTTTTATAATTTTTGCATGGTGTACAGTCTGGAAAGTACCAACATGGAAAATTTCCAGTTTGTTGCATGTCGGGAAGTACACTAAACATTTTGAACAGACGCACATATTCACAACTTTGCCTTTTATATATATAGTGACCCACACTACCAGGGGCTTGGGGCACCCGCACACACAGTATGGAGATTGCGTAATCAGACGGGGGACAGCATAGAGGGAGCAAGGGCAACCGAGGACAAAGTGTTATAGAGCCAGCCAAGGGGAGTTGAGGTCTTCGAGGACAGCTTGCGAGGGACGAGGAAACGGACCTGAGTTGTCAAGGCACCAAGCTTTGATGAATAGGTGGTGGCAAGGTGGACACTGGGATGCCCCAGGGGTCGTATGGCCCGATTTGCCAATGGGGATGAAAATATGGGGGGGGACAGCGGGTTTTAGGGGAGATAATGGGTGATATCATGGGGGGGTGTGGCTCGGGTAACAGGATTAAAGTATTCTATGGTTCTTTCGGTAAAGTCACGTAGATAGAAAAAATAATAACAATAAAATAACATTAACTTTTATTATTATTTTATTGTTATTAATTTTTTCTATAAAATAATAACTTTTTATTATTATTTTATTGTTATTAATTTTTTCTATCGACGTGACTTTACCGAAAGAATCATAGAATATGAATTCCTGCAGTCACGAAAGTTTTAAGTCAAGGACTAAAGTAAAGGGAGAGTCCGAGAGGGAGAAGGCCCCGGGTAAGCGGTGTCAAGCCGCGGTGACGGCGCCGCGTGAGAGAGATACCGAACGGAGGAGTGTGGCGCGGGCCGACGGAGTGGACGCGGCAGCATAAGTGCGGAAGATTTGGAGTTGCCGGGTGGCAGGTGGATGTAGAGCGGACGAGTGGTGAATATTCATAGGGCCCTGTGGTGCCAGGTGGATGAAGTGAAGAGTACAAGAGAGCGGTCGAGTGTGCATGAGGATTTACGCATCACCGAGTTCGCCGTGATACACTATATTCCTTTGCTGACGTTATCGTCTCCAGATTGAAAACGAATTTCTTTAGAGCTGCTTTTTGTGTTTAGTTTGTAATCCACAAATTGTATTTTCCAGAATGTCTCATTTCCAAGAGACAATTCAGCTATGCTCTATTAAATAAAGCAAAGTGAAAGTCTTTCCTGAGCTACTCGCTAAGTCAGACAAATTAATTGACTTTATATATTTTAAATTCTTCTCTTTTCGATAGCTAAACGGGTGCCAAACGAGTTCATTCTTATTCTGTCTTTGATTTAAAGAATTGTGCAGGAATGGACACCTCCATTGGCGCTGTCACCGCCAATGTGTTGTGTCTTTAGTTGTTGTCCTTCCCCTGCACCTCCGATTAGCACGGTTGGCTACGAACGGTGTGAAAGAAGTTCAACATACATTGTTCGTGAGGTTATAATAAAACTGCCCTACACTGAAAGAGAAGACTGCAAGTTGTCCCTGATGAATCGCGGTGGTCATTACATATTAATGCGCCACTAAGCTGACGAAAAGCTAATTTATGTTTCCCATCTCCTTTATTTATTGCTGAAATTTAATTTTAAGGGTGGTACTGACCTCAATCCATAATTTGCCTGTCCATGGATCCCCAAGAGTGTTTTTTTTAAATCAAAGAATGTGGAAAGATGAACAAGGTTACTTGTGTTATAGTAAGGAAAGGTAGAGCTGCGAAAAGAATGATTTCTGTTGAGTGACAATCGAAGAGCTGATTAGGGTTAGGTACCGGTTTGAGATGCCCATAGGCTATCACCTAATGAGATAATGCTACTGGTTGTCATGATGACTTGTCAAGCATGATCATCGCTATTTAATATAGCCGTATTATATGTTCAGCAATCATTGACTTTTCCTGTCCAATTCATCAGAATTCTCCACAGCTACATTACCATAAAAGGACTAGTGCATGGCATGGAGTGTCAATGAATGATGTATCCTGAGCGCCACTATTATCTTATTCTTCTATCGAAAATTACATTGTACAAAACAGAGAGGAATTTAATCGCAAATTCAGGCAAGCCATTACATTATACAGAGCCGTGATGAATATGTAATTCAGAAACTAAATATTGAATAACATTAAATAAATATTTTATTGACACGATACAATGTCTTACTGATTTGATCAAATCTTAACATTCACTCATCTCTGCTGTACGACGTTTTCAAACACTAATTCGGATGAGTCAGGTTACAGTTTTTCAGATTTATTGAAATTGCAACGGAGAGCTGGGGAGAAGGGTGTTTCAATCTTTTTTTTCATTACCCGTAACCGCATGAAATAAAATAGTTAAATAACAGTTGCTGGTTTGCTGCACATAAACGATGTCTATTGATAAACAAAACATTCCCTTTAAAACTGAGAAATCAAGGGAGCTGCTGCAGTGTAATGGTTAGTACACTGGACTTGCAATACAGAGGTTGCCGTTTCGACTCCATATCCCGGCGCAACAGTTGAAAGAATTGGTTGGGAAAGTGTCTTGAATTCATCTGTCTCTGGCTCCCGAGCAGTAAACATTGGTACACCCACAGTTGAATGACATGTTGTAAGTGGTGGGGTGAAGTGTGGGACAAGCCCAAATTCCAAAGGGTCTGGTCAGCGTGGAAGAGTAGTAGATCGTATACCATCTAAAGCTCTCTCAAGTGGAGGCCCTTCTGTCAGCAATGGCTTGAGTAAGAAAAGCAATTGCAGGGTTGGCCTTTACCTATTAACTAAGAAGCGAAGGCAAATGTACAACGTGGTGGCTTAGGTCTCAGTACCATTTGTACGTGTGCACGTGCCAATCGGTGCATGACTAAAATTCCACTGGAAACAATTACCGGTTACTGACTTTTGGAACCGATTATATCAATTCAGAAAATGTCTATCGGTCTACCTGTTATCTTTTAGCAGCTCTACTTGATAACCAAAGCGAGTACTGGGTGACTGTGTGTAAACAAATGTTTCCATGCTGGCTTTAGGTATTGGTATTCCACAACACTAAATTTTGGTATTAAACGGTATGTGTTAATATTAGCAGTACTCTATTCGGTAATGAAGATTTATATAGATGGTATGTGCGTCTGCATTTTGGATGTGTGTGTGTGTTTGTTGAGCAGGGCAGGTGCCATCCGGTCTGGTTTCCCATCCCGATTGTGAGCACTTGCTCTATCCACTGGGCTGTACTGTGGTCATCCGGAGCCTCAAGGGGGCCCGTCAGTCATTTCTGCATGGACATACCAACAACGTGTCTTGTCTGGCTGTGTCTAACAGTGGCCACTATGTTGCATCCGGACAAGTTACCTACATGGGCTTTAAGGTACAAAATATAAATCATTGGGGCGGAATGGTGGTAAATTGGTTATTGAACTGCAGTACAAACCCGGCGACCTGAGATTATTACCAACCATGGCTAATATTATGGTGAATGATATCTGAACTTGTTCTGGTCCCGTCCTTCACCAACATACTCTGATTGAAAAATGTATATATTCTGATTGAAATCTGTTATCTTCATACATACAGTATTTTTTTGTTGCTGAACATATCCATTATTAGTTTTAGTTCACTGTCAATAATTTGAATTCCTATGCCATTTAGTGAAGGCGGACCGAGATTAAATCAAGTCGAGCTTAATGTTAAAACCCATAAACTCAAATTTTTGCTTGTTAGACTTAATAACTCACACACACAAAGCCATTTCATAATTTTCATCCTGGTCCACTTTCATTAATTTCCTGATACACTGTATATACGTATGCTGCTTTGTGTGAATTAAGAAAAGGAGCAGTTGTGTCTCTCTAGAAATAATTTTCTTTGGCAACAAACAAAGGAAGTCTCTTAATATCTGCAAAAACTGAAACCTTTTGCAAGGAATCATGTTTGCAGTCAGAATGCAAAAAAACCTGATAATTTATGCATTGTCCTTGAAACTTATTGGTCCACACCAGAGACAGCTTTCCTTAGAGCCTAGTCTCATACGGTGTTCGACCAGATGACGCCAAAAGGCACACAGTTCAAAGACAACGCACTGTATGAGACTAGGCTCTAAGGAAAGCTGTCTCTAGTGTGGACCAATCAGTTTCAAGGACAATGCATTAATTATCAGTGTTGTTTTTGTTTGCATTCTGACTGCAATTATTGTGGTTAATGCAGACATGAATCCTTGTAAAAAGGTTTCAGTTTTGTTGCCAGAATAAAGGGGAAAAACCTTATTATTATATTTTGGTACTGGCAAAAGAGGTCTAATGATTTACAATCTAGTTGTAATTACTGGCGAAAAGTCGTACTCAGATTGTAAATGTTGTGGCTTGGCTCTCCAACACACTGGTGTGCTGTATTAGTGACAAATTGGCATGATCTAGTTACGTGACAACCCTTACTAGTTGGCTGTGTCGGGTGGTGACGGGTTTTAACGACACATTTATATATTTATGCGATCTAACCCTAAAAACCTCTATTATGCACTTCATTAATTTTATTATTGTTTTAAAGTGTGGTAGAAAGCAGGCAAACTTATTGAGAGTCACAAGTAACATCATTTACTGTGTCAAATCATTGTGGAAAGCAACAGTGCCAGGTGTTTAGCAGAATCTGTTACATTCAAGTAAACTCTTTCCTAATAAAAAAATGTGCACGATTGCACCTGCTGAAAATACTATTGAGAAATCTCATTTGCATTCCACATGCACACAGTTCCCTGTACTTGAATGGTCTTTTGAACGCAGGCGGACGTGATTTTGTGGAATTTTGAGAAGCGCGAGCTGCATGCCCGGCTCACTTTGCACAAGGTGAAGGTTGAAGCATTGGCCTTCTCACCTAATGACCTCTACCTGGCATCCTTGGGAGGCCAGGATGATGGCAGGTATTTTTGTTATTTGGTTTTAATGTTTACTTACATTTTAAAGCTCCAAAAATAAACAAGCAAACATTTAATATGAAAACTCTAAATTAGACAAGACACAGTATTAATCAAAATTGAAATGGTTTGAATAATTAAATCACCCCTTTTGTACAATGTGATGTGACAGGTTGTGAAGTCGGATTAGCTTTTATCGCTGGATCCTGACATTGGAATCAGATGTACCAAATAAGTGTTGCAAATGAGACCTACTGTTCAGCTGTTATATCTCCCAATTAATCAATGACATTGGCCTGCATAATTGAATTTACTTCAAGAGAAAAAGGATGGTAGATAACCATGTAATCCAAGCCAAGCACAAAATGTGTTTCTCTTTAAAGTGTGGTGATCTGGAACGTGACCAAGAAGGAAGCTGTGTGTGGAAATGCTGTTTCACTGCCAACGGCTGGCACCACAAACACCGTCCGCTTCACCAACACCAGCGACCTCTCCTTCATTACAGCTGGGAAGTGAGTATCACAGTAGCAATGCATACTACAATCCTTGAAATGTTTTGTGTCTGAATATGTACTTCACGCGTGAATCCAATATTAAATTGGATAAGTATATCGGCTTGGTCAGCTGATCATCTCCAATGATGACTGTGAGACAACAATTACTTACTTCCCACAAATGATACATGTTTAGCATTCTGAGGGAGACAGCGGGCTGAGTACACTCACAAGTGATATGTTAACTTATTACCTTGGAATTGAGTGCACTGCAACGTTGTCGCCCAACTAGATATGAACTCATGTAGCGCATACACTGCACTAAAGATACCGTATACTTTGTGTGTTTATATATATAATCTAGATGTGTGGTTCTGTGGCAGAGTTCTTGCCTAACAATTAAATCCCTACGGCGGTTAACCCATTATCTGACTGAGGTCTGCATTGTAGGAAGTAAACAGCAGAATCTGGTCACACAGCTGACTGACATTGGTCAAAGGAGATTAAGAGCTCGATTTGTCGAGCTAATTTCACTGTCATTCTGCCATTCCTTGGTGGAATGACTGCCAACTCCACAAAAATCGGATATATTCTGAGAAATATATTTAAGTTGCAGACAATTTCAGTGTGTGCACTAGTAGTAAAGAGCTTAGGAAGCAATTCTTGATGGATCACCGCAAGATGAAGGTTGGTGTGCGATTATGGATTGGGAGTTGATTTGATCATCATCACCTGCAGCAGCAATGTCGTTGTGATCGTCATTTATTGTTATCACTCATCATCATAATCGACACTTATCTGCTTGTCACACATTTGGAAGGTCACTTGTGCATTGGTGACTGCTGCAGACCATTGCGTCAGGCTGCCAGTCACACAGCAGCAGAAGGCCATAACCCGGCATTATTTCCATGCTATTGCTAACTTCCTTCGAGAGGTAGACACAAGTGCCAATCAGACCACACTCGAAGGTGACAGCTTCGTGCAGTGCAAAGGGTCCCATTCTGTAAATGTGCCACTTATTTTTTTATGCTCACCTCGATAAAATGTAAAGATTCCACTTTCATTTTGGCCTAATCAACCGTGGCTCATATAATAGACTTCACTGCTCAATATGGAGGGCCCTTTGGTCACGGAACCTATTCCGTGCAGCTGTGCCCACAGAAGCATTACAATGATATCGCCACTAATGCTATGTGATTGAGAATACAATTGGCATTTTAAAGGCATGCTAGTTCAAGCTTCATAATAAAAGTTTTTGGGTTAGATCGCGTTTATTTATAAATGTGTCGTAACCCTCCACCACCCGACACGGCCAATCAGCAAAAAAAGTGTCACGTTGACAAAAGACAAATAATTCACTTATTTAGCCCACCGGTGTGTTGAAGAGTGAATCCACATTTACAGTTTGAGTACGACGTTTCGCTGGTAATTACATCCAGCATCATCGGGCAATTCGCCAGAATGGTAAAGCCCTCGCTTGCTCCCGGTTTTATATAGAGCAGCAGGGTGACGTCATCACTTAACTCATATCAGGTGCAGTGATTAGAGGCGGAGGGGGGGGTATTGTAATTATATAATCGATTAGTAATCAGTCATTGGTTATGATTAGTAATGAGTTGTAGATTAGTAATTCTTTAAATCAAAATGTAATGTGTATTATTTAATAATACGCTTTCAGGCCGCACTAAGCCTGTAGCTGTCAGAGCGATTCAAGTTATTCTTATTCCTCTCAATTTCAATGGATTCTCTAATTAGTCTTTGCCAGTAATAATTAGTTTTACACAACACTGCAACATTGTCAAAATCAATTGAGTGTCTTTGTTGACAAGCATGTTCTGCCACTGCCGACAGTTGTGTTTGAGATAATTTAATATTTCTCTGATGTTCTTTTAGTCTTACGCTGATGTTACGTCCCGTCTGTCCAATGTAGCAGCTGCCACATAAAGAATTAATCCGATATACACCTTATGTTGATAATTTAGGTAATGCGTCTTTAGTGCAAGATACTAGTTTTTGAATTTTGTATACTGTACCAAATCTTACTGTAATGTTTTGCTTTTGCAAAACACAGGCTAATTTGTCAGTTACTCCTGAGATATATGGATTTTTTATTGTTTTAACAATCTGGTCGCTTTCAGCAGTATTGCTTTGCGATCGTGATTTGGCATTCAGTGCTCTGTTAATTTGAGCATTATTGTAGCCATTCTGTCGTAGTGCGTCTTTAACGTGTTTAATCTCTCTCACTAGACTCTCACCATCTGACACTGTTTTAGCCCGATGTATGAGCGTCTTGATAAGAGAGGATTTCTGAGCTGGATGATGATGTGATTCTGCATTCAGATAGGCATCAGTGTGCGTTTGCTTTCTGTAAACGCTGTGTTATTTTACCGTTTAGGCCATGTCCAAGCAAAAGATCTAGGAACGGGAGTGTGTTATTCACCTCCATTTCCATACATGCTTGTCTATATGACCTTTGATACTTGCCAATGCCCATTCTCACTGCCACCCCAGCATACCACACAGCGCATGCGCACTTGCAGTTGTAACCCTCATAGACACCAGCTTGGCTACAGGGGGCAACCTCTGTGCTGCTGTGTGAATGGCATGCACGGTGCACGTGCAGAAAGATGTAGCGATGAATGTGATGATCATGGTGGTACTGATAGCTGGTGATGATGTATGTGCACCCATGGGTCTGAAGACAATTTGTGTTGATGTGGGGGTACACACCTGAACAAACATGGCACTGAAATTGCAGTCCTGGTACAAATATAAAAGTGATGTGTTTTTTGGAACAAAAAAAATTCTAAATGAAAACAATGACTAAAATTAGGCATATCGGAAGCCAACATACATAACACAGTGGGAACAAATATTAGTTAATCCTTCCAAGGTCTGTAATGAGGGGTGTGGTGGGGGTTGGCCTGCTCGTACAGAGGGTGCTAATGATGGTGTTGGCTGCATGGGGGGGGGGGGGATGACGGTGGTCTTGGTTGCTGGGCAATCCGCCGGTTCCTGATTGGCTGCCGGATGTTTTTTGGAATGGGGCTACACCCATTCCTCATGGAGAGTCGGGCCAACAACTGCCGTGTGAATTTATTGTAATCACTTTTTTTTTATTTCCACGTAACACCGGAATTTTGCAAAAGTGTGGAAACAAACTTTTAGATGATTCGGATCTAAACACTGCTGATTGATGATGACTCGCGGTGACATTGCTGTTACAATCGCTAATGATCCACCAACCCCCAATCCACCAAATCACACTAACCCCTCTTCCTTTGGCTGTCATTCCCCAAAGAATTGGGGGCCCAATCCATCTCTAAATAGATGGATTGGGCCCCCTTTAACTTTTAAATGCAGTATATGTATCATTGTATATTTGCACAGAATGGTATCCGTAAATATGCATTTTTTTCAGTTTAGAGTCGATTCAGACATGCCTGTTTTCCAAAGAGGAAGTGTATAATAAACATTTTGTAGTGTTTGGAGGAAATTACAATATGTGAAGACTTGACTAGTTACCAGAATAATACAAATTTGTGTTGAAAATGTAATAAAACTGTGCATTTTAAATTTGTTTATGACTTGACTTAAAGCTTTCGTGACTGAAGGAATTAATATATTTTTTAGTCTTTTGTTAAAGCCACGTAGATAGAAAAATAATAAAAATATGACGTTTTGATCGCAACATAAGCAATCGTCATCAGGTGAAAAAAGATAGCGGGAGAGCTACTGAGGCAGGAAAAAATATAGCGGGAGAGCTGCTGAGGCAGGGTGTTATAAAGGTTTGAGATGGGTGTAGCCCAAGAGTCATAAGCGAAGTGGGCGGGGCTAGAAATTTAATTTGCATGTAAATGTAAGATCGGAGAGCTGAGCTACCTCCACGATGACGATGCTGTGGAGGTGGCCATTGTATTGTGAGAGATTAGCATGTCAATGTAAGAAAAACGAGAGCAACCGCCACATCGAGGAAAACGAGCAATGGTGGCTGTGTTCGTGAGACATTTAGCCTGTTAATGTGAAGACATTTAACCTGGTACTGTAACTCAGAGAGTCGAATATAACTGCTAACATCGGTAGGTAGGATGGAAACATCACAGCCAGTTATGACTTAAACTGGTTAATAACGTCCTTCCAATGATTACTCAGTTTTGTACCCATCTTCTCGGTTGAAATTGTGTCTGTGTTTATATATCTGGATGGCTTCATGAACGAATCTTTGCTGATAGCCAGTGGGTTTGCAGAGTAACTTCATCTTGGAAAAATAAATTTTGTGTGTGCCCACAGCGTTAAAACAATGATAAGCCACGGCTGAAGTATTGGTCCTACCGTGTTTCAGATCTGCTTCATGTTCACGAACACGGTCCGAGACATGTCGCTTAGTTTCCCCAATGCAACTACTGCCGCAAACACAACTTAGTTTGTAGACACAAGGGTATTGCATGTGTAGTGATTGTACTTGTCACTGTGTGGTGCCGGGACTTGCGAAGTCATGGCCGGCAATGTTGTCATTGTGGGCAGCCCAGGTTTCAGGCTGCAGTACCAGCACTAGCGGTGGTTGGGTGAGCGCTGGTTAGCGCAGAGGCACCGCGAGCAGTGTGCGGTGCCTCCCAGTGAGGGAGCGAGAGTGAGCGTCAGCCAGCCAGGGTTACTCTGGGGCATGATACTCTGGCTGACCTGTTGTCACGTGACCGGACAATACTGGAGGGGGGCCACCGGTGGACGGGGGCCGAGGGGCGGTCACGTGGTCCCGAAGAGCTCTCGGGTACATTTGAGAAGGAGCTCGAGAAGCCTGGAAGGTGGGCGGGGATAGGGGCAGAGCCAGCCCTAGCTTGGGAGCATATAATTAGAGCTCCGTAAGGAGCTCGGGGTTCTCCAAGTGTTGGTGTTCGAAGATCCACGTCGGGGAGAAGAAGCCTCTAGCCACGCGGTCTGGGACCCAGCTTGTGGTCCGGACCGGGATAGCGAACCGTGTCTAGTTCTGCCGTAGCGTAGTTAGATGGGCATTCGAGACC